AAATGCACAGTTCAAAACACTGGCGATCAGGATGCTCACAGAACTGGTTGATTTTAGTCATAAATTAGATTTAAAAAATTAAGCTACACTAAGTGAAATGAAGGAAAATGCACAGGGAACCAATAGTGATGGGAAGAAAACTGGGACTCAAATCAATGGAGTGGACCAGAAGGAAGAAAGAAACAACCAAACAGAAAAGAAGGAAGAACTAAGAATTCAAAACTATGAAGAGAGGCTTAGGAACCTCCAGGACATCTTTAAACGTTCCAACATCCGAATTAGAGGGGTACCAGAAGGGGAAGAGGAAGAGCAACAAGTGGAAAACTTATTTGAACAAATAATAAAGGAGAACTTCCCCAATCTCACAAAGGAAATAGACTTCCAGGAAATCCAGGAAGCTCAGAGAGTCCCAAAGAAGTTGGGCCCAAGAAGGAACACACCAAAGCACATCATCATTACATTAGCCAAGATTAAAATGAAGGAGAGAATCCTAGAAGCAGCAAGAGATAAGGGGACAGTCACCTACAAAGGAGTTCCCATCAGACTGTCAGCTGATTTCTCAAAAGAGACCTTACAGGCAAGAAGGGGCTGGAAAGAAGTATTCCAAGTCATGAAATCCAAAGACCTACATCCAAGATTGGGCTATCCAGCACAGCTTTCATTTAGAATGGAAGGGCAGATAAACAGCTTCTCAGATAAGGTCAAGTTCAAGGAGTTCATCATCACCAAGCCCTTACTATATGTTAAAGGGACTTATCTAAGAAAAAGAAGATAAAAAATATGAACAGTGAAAGAAAGGACAGCAAACTCACAGTTATTAACAACCACACCTAAAACAAAAACAAACTTAAGTGGACAGCTAGATCAGGAGCAAAGCCACAGAAATGGAGATCACATGGAGGGTTAGCAACAGGGGAGTAGGAGGAGGAGAGGAGGGGAGAAGGTACAGAGAAAAAGTAGCATAGACGGTGGGGAGAAAATAGGCAGGGGGAGGGCAAGAGTAGTATGGGAAATGTAGAAACTAAAGAACTTATGACACATGGACATGAACTAAAGGGAGGAATGCGGGGGAGTTAAGGGGGGAAATTGGACAACGGTAATGGCATAATCAATAAAATATATTTTAATCAATCAATTAATTAATTAATTCTAAAATGTGTTGGAACCACATAAGACACTGAATAGCCAAAGCCATCTTGGGAAAGAAGAACAAACCTGGAGGTATCACTCTATCTGATATCAAACTATACTACAAGGCTAAAATAATCAAAACAGACTGATACTGTTACAAAAACAAACACACGGATTAATGGACCAGAAATAAACCCACACCTATATGGTCAATTAATCTATGACAAAGGAGGCCATATACAATGGGGTAAAGATAGTCTCTTCAATAAATGGTGCTGGGAAAATTGAACAGATACATGCAAGAGAGAGAAACTAGATCACTTTCTTACACCATGTGCAAAGATAAACTCAAAATGGATTAAAGACTTAAATTTAAGACCTCAAACCATAAATCTTGAAGAAAACATAAGTAATAAACTTCTGACATCACTTATTTTGGATATGTCTCCTAGGACAGGGAAACAAAAGAAAAAACAAACAAGTGGGACTACACCAAACTAAAAGGTTTTTCCATGGTAAGGGAAACTATCAATGAAACGATAAGACAGCCTGGCTGGTGTAGCTCAGTGGATTGAGCACAGGCCTGTGAAGCAAAGGGTTGCTGATTCGATTCCCAGTCAGGGCACATGCCTGGGTTGTAGTCCAGGTCCCCAGTAGGGGCACACATGAAAGGCAACCCACACTGATGTTTCTCTCCCACTCTTTCTCCTTCCCTCCCCCTCTCTCTAAAAATAAATAAATATTTTTTTAAAACACACACAAAAAAACGGTAAGACAACCTACTGAATGGGAGAAGATTTTTTCAGTAACACATCAAATAAGGGATTAGTATCCAAAATATACGAGGAACTCATGTAACATCCAAAAAAACCCAAACCAATTAAAAAATGGGTGGAGGACCTGAATAGACCTCTCTCTAAAAAGGACATACAGGTGGGACGACTGACACATGAAAGGATGCTCAACGCCATTTATCATCAGAAAAATGCAAATTAAAACCACACTGAGGTATCTACACCTCACACCTGTCAGTATGGCCATCATCAGTAAATCAACAGACAGTAAGTGTTGGCAAGGATGTGGAGAAATGGGAACCCTTGTGCCCTGCTGGTGGGATTGTAAAATGGTAGAACCATCATGGAAAACAGAATAGAAATTCTTCAAAAAATTAAATATCAAACTACTATGTAACCCAGCAACTCTACTTGTGGGTATTTATCCAAAGAAATCCAAAACACTAACTCAAAAAAGATACATGCTCCCCTATGTTCACTGCAGCATTACTCACAATAACCAAGATACGGAAGCAACCTAAGTGTCCATCAACAGAGGAGTGGATAAGGAAGATACAGAGAACAAACTGAGGGCTGCCACACGGGAAGGAGGTTGGGGGTTGGACAAAAAAGGGTAAGGAATTAGAAAGTACAAATTACCAGTTATAAAACAGTCACAGGGATGTAAAGCACAGCATAAGCAACACAGTCAATATTTTAATAACTATGTATGGTGTTAGATGGGTACTAAGAATTATCAGGGGGATCGCTTTCCTAGTTATATAAATGTCTAATCACTATGCTGTAAACCTGTAACTACAAAAATTTTTTTTAAATGTGTACTAAAGGACCAAAACATCTGATATAAAATTAACAATAAGAAATGTAGTACTACTTTGCTGGTATAGTTATGCTGGTATTTATATTTTTTCTGAATAAACATAATATTATCAGTGACCTAAAGCAAAACAAAATATGGAAGAACATCAATCACTAAAAACTATTTTAAGGCTTGAATTAGCTAATCTGTTCGCCTTTGGTCATTAAAGTGATTTGATACCTGCCAGACAGAAGTTTCCTTTGATGCCCAATAAATCGAGAACAATCTTGACAATATAATTAATTAATTAACAGGAGTACTTTGTCTTTGCATCTACTGCAAGGCATTTTTCTTTTTATATGTAGAATTAGCAGATAACTGAGGAAAAACTAGGGCTTTACAGCCATGGCCTACATTTGAGGGTTGGTACCTTGGAGTGCAATAATGTTCTTTCACAAAATGTCCTGTGGAACTACTATCAAAGATGGAAATTTGTTGGATGAATCCTCAGCCAAGCAAGGATATATTTATATTTGTGAGCTCATAAAATGGGCAAAGAGTTTCTAGAGACCTGGTGAAGCCACACAGGACTAGCCACAAAGAGTTGCAGGAATGATGTGTACTTAAGCTAATGATGTCCTCTAGTTACTTACAACCTCACTCCTCTGCTTAATTTACATGTTTACAATCAGAAAATCTATGAGTGAATAAAAACACTACAGTACATCCAGGTACCGCAATGACGGAAACATGTCATCATCACACATTTATTCAAACCCACAGAATGTCCACCACCAAACGTGAACCCTAATGTAAAGTGTGGACTCTGGGTGACGATGCTGTGTCAGTGTAGGTTCACCGACTGTGCTGTTCTGGTGGGGATGTCCACAGTGGGAAGTTTGTGCCTGTGTGAGAACAGGGTATATACTGAAACTCTCTGTACTCTTCTCTCGATATTGCTGTGAACCTAAAACTGCTTTAAAAAAAAAAGCCTATTTAAAATCATTTTAGCCCTGGCCAAGTAGCTCATTTGGTTAGAGTGTTGTCTCAGTACACCAAGGTGGCAGGTTCAATCCCCAGTCATACAAGAAGCAACCAATGAATAAGTGAAACAACAAATCAATGTTTCTCTCTCTTTCTCCTTTCCTCTCTAAAATCGATAAATAAAAATAATTTAAAATTTTATTTAAAAAATGAAGGCAAAGGAAAACGTTTTCAGACAAACTCGAGCCAGGAGCACTCGCTGTCAGCAGACGGGCACCACAGGAACCCTCAGGGAAGTTCTCCGAGCTGAAGGGGATGATACCAGAGGGAAGCCCAGACCCTCAGAAAGGAGAGACCCAGAAATGGTAAGTATGGACATGAATGTAAAGGCTATCTTGTTACGCTCTTTATTTCTTTAAAATGCGCTTGGCTTTTTAAAGCAAACAAACATGTTGTGGAATCCACAGCATGTGTAAACGTAGTAATAGGCTACTACAACTACGGCATAAAGGTTGAAGAAGGTAAATGAAACTATAAGGTTGCAAGGTTGCTGCATTTTACCTGAAGTGATACAATTATTAACTAACTAGACTGAAAAGTACAGCATGTATATTGTGAGTCCTTAAAAAAACAGCAAAAAATGCAAGAAACTGCGGGGGGCCAATGCAAAGGTTCCGTTGTGTGAGTTACCTGAATACACGCACTTGTCCAAACTGCTGGGAGTGTGCACTTAACATATGTGTGCACCACTGTAAGTAATTTTTATCAAAAATTTAAAAAATGTTTTCTTAAAAAAAAAAAGCACCTGGCTCTGCTTAGTCAATAAATGTTAGTTACTACTGTTAGTATTCTGCTAAATAACAGAGTATCAATTTAAGAAGTGCTGCTTTTGAACATGCTTCTTTCCTTCTTACAGTAGGGCCTTATTTATGTAGCACATGCTTATCCTCCTTCCTGGGACATTCTCGCCTCCCACTTTTCCCCTGAACAACGCCTATGCACCCCTCGTTCTTCCTCTCCATAGCATTTCCTTTGGGAAGCCTTGCCAGACACTCTCTCACCAATGGCCAAATTAAGATATCCTGTCACTTGCTCCTGTGACATCCTGGACTTACTGTTGTAATTAAGTTCCACTTATTGGCCTATGAGACTGTACGATCCATAAGGGCGCTGGCTCAGTTTCACTCACTGCTGGATTTTCTATTCTCAATGCAGTGCCTGGGTCCCAGGGTGCTGGAGGCAAAAGGCAGCGACGAAAGGCTCCAAGAGCTGTTTTCTCCATCCTGACATACCGTTTCGCTCTCTCCAAGTCATCATTTGCTTGCTCCAGCTCTCGGATGTATTTCTGCAGCTGATCTTTAATTGCCTTTGTCTGGGCTAGGTCATCCTCTAAGGCGGAGATCTGCCGGTAGCCTTCCGAATGCTGCGCCTCAAACTTCTCCTGAATGACAAAATCAACAGTGAGTGAACAATGAAGACTTCTGATAAGCTCTGGTTATCTCCCCCTTCCCTGCTATCTCCTTAAAACACTAAAGGCACTCCTATTGTAGCAGACACGGTTGTTTTTTAGACACTGCGCTTCCATTCCCCTCACTCTCCACAGTCTGCCAGCACCCTGACTTCTTCAGGGGAGTTACCTCTGTTATCACAGGGTCTTCGTGGGACTAGTCTTCCCTCCCATCACACTCAGTGAAGAAGCTTCAGCCTTCCTCTCCCACCCTCCTGCTACAGCCAGGGAACATGCCTAACTGTAGTCCACAGAACCTTTTCTCCACAGATGTGGACTCTTAAGCATGTGACAAAAGAGGGCAAAAACAGGGGGCTCTCACGTCTAGAGTGCTTCCTGCCTCCCAGCCTCCTGAGCATCTTGTACCTTGCCTCCTCCAAAACCTGGTCCTTGTAGCCTCCGTGTCAAGAAGCAACCAACTATCTTCAAAGCAATCAATTTGATCAAGGTGTCCACAGCCACAGAAAGCCACATAAACCTCTCCAAGCCTCAGCCATGAGGGCAATATGATTCCATGACATCATGGATCACAAAAAAAACATCAGGGATCACAATGACTTTGGCTGCATGTGCCACGCAATAAGGGCAGGACATTGTGTACTTAGTCTGACAATTGTTCTGACTTTGTGATCCAGAACACTCCCCCTACAGCATGGGGGAGTTAGAAGAACTTCTGGACCTCTGGGAGAGGGGAGAAAGGAAGGAAGGGAGGGAGGAAAAGAACAAAAAGGGAAAAAAAAACCTGTTATAAATTATGAAAGGAAGCCTAGTACTTTCCAAGACCTAGCAGCTAACATTTATCATTCACTGCATGGCAGCCTCTGGGTTCAGTAGACTGATTACACTGCCTCATTTAATGCCATGCTCAGGGATGTGGGGACTGAGGCTCAGTTATTTAATTAGCACAAAGTCAACTGGTAGCAAATAACTGAGCCAAGATCCAACCTGAGGTACCTGGGCTTGTTCTCTTGAAAGAAAAAAAAACAAGTATGATAAACTGCCCTCACCACTTCAGGCCAGGTGATAGAGCCATCAATCTCTCTCCCTTTTTCCTTCCCTCTCTCCCTCTCTCATCTTCACCAAACACCCTTACTACATTTCCTTCATCCATACGCATGAAAGAAAACACCCACTTCCCACAGGAAAGGCCCAAAGTCTAATTAGAAAGTTAAAAAAAAAACAAAACAGGCAAACTCCTTCCTTTTCTTTACCCAGTTGAGTAAACAAAGCTGTTGCTAGAATGACGTAATGGTGTTGTCTAGGTCAGAGAGGCGTGGACAGTCAGTGTGAAGGGCAACACCCTCGGAACGATCTGATTTACAAGGTGAGGACTTGGAGGGCATTCCACATGCTCAGTCTGCTGTGTCCCCTCTGATACCCCGCTTCCTGGCTATGAGCAGAAGCAGTGTCCCCACAGAAACAAACAGGGCCCGTGCACAGCCAATTCCCAGGCATGGCTCTGATGGCCTCACAACCTTTAGGTGGGTGCATCTCCAGATAAAACAAGAGGGTGCAGAATCCTAGGTGATTAACCTAAATTCAAACTCGGGTTCTCAGAAGATGTGGTTAACGGGCTTCTCCACCAGCATGATGATTCAAAGGATGTCCTTTGAATTTGTGGACATGAAAAGCTGTTCCTGACATGTTGTGCTTTCATTTGGGGCTAATTATAATGAGCTGTCAGCTGACGGAGGCATCAATAGATGCTCTGTCTGATCCCTTACAGGCTTTTTTATTCAACTTGTGATGAATAAGCCAGTTGTCAAGAGGCTTATTCAGTTGAATACATTTCTCTTAGGTGACAAATATGGCCTAGTGGCACTTTGGGTATTTCTATTTCTTTCCTTGTTCTATGTTCTGAGTCTCATGGTTGGAATGAAGGTCTTCTACAGATTCAAAGGCTCAGTTTTGAAGCCTTTACTTACTTATTAATAGCTTGGTATTTATTCAGCATCCGTGGAGGGCCCTCTTCCCTTTCTAAATTACTGGCCATACCACCGATCTTCCTTCCATAGTTTTCCATTCCCAAGGCCTCTTAAATTTAAGAACTACAAGTTCTCCATGTCTATGGCAGGGATCAAATACTAATGCCTGCAGGGGTCAATCTGTTAATAAAATGAGTGAAGTGGGCCACATGTAAGAATAGAGAAGGTGACACTTTATCCTTTAGTGCTGGAGGTGGGGGAGGGGGGTGCAGTAGTAGGGACTGGGGTGAACTGGAGAATGCTTGCTCTGTCTTAGCAACCACTACTTGGCTTTTTGCTGCTATGGAAGAATGAAGGCCTTGTGTGGCCAGACCTGCCAATGCTCAAAGGAAATCAGAATTCCAGATTTTTATAGCCTTACAACTTCGAATGTTGATATTAAAGATATAAATTTTATTATCAAAAGAATAAACTGTAAATAAACCCCCAACTCTAGCAAGTAATAGCATGTTGAGGTATTTTACAGGCAGTGTCCAGATGCATGCAATTCACTTTGAAATGCATCGAATCATAAGACAGATTGATGGATGCACAGATACATAATAAAAAGTATGGCAAAGGTTACTGGTAGAGCTTGGGTGGCAGATGTACAGGTGTTTACTGGAAAATTCTTTCAACCTTGCTGTGTGCTTGAAAACCTTCATGATAAATGTTGAATAAAACCACTAAGGCAAAGCAAACAGCATCTGTGGGCCAGACTAGTCTGCAGGTAGCTACTTTGGACTCTGTGGCCTATAGCATAAAGGCCTGACCTCTACTCCTCAGCTTCAATGGTCTTTGGGGTCTTTCCTCTGTTCCTCCCCATCTCTCAATCCCCAATCCATTTTTTGGTCTCACTTCTTCCCATGTATCAGTAAAGCAGGACTCTCAAGGTCCACTTGAAGCTCATCCTTGTCCATGTCTGTGGCAGGTCCAGGTGAACTCTTTATCAATCCTGGGCACCAAGACACTAGCTTTACACACTCCCTGCCCACCCCATCTTCAAACGCCAGCTCAAGTCCCTCCCCAGTGGTTCCCTGAAGCTGTTTCCAATCCATGTAGACCTTTCTCTCTCAGGAGGATCTCATGGTCAGTAATACATAAATGAGCATCTTTTCCCTAAGTGCTTCCTGGGGTTAGGTTTGTCTTCCCCAAGAAGCTTCCAGAGGACCTGTAGCACATCTTTTTCCATCACACCCTGCCCTGGCCCACACTACGGGGCCTGGGCGCTCTCCCAAGGCAGCTCGTCAAAATCTACATGAGAGCTTTATTAAAAAGAGAGATAAATGAAAAGATATGCAGACATGCTAGGGCCCCACCCAGACTTAATGAGAACAGCAGTCTTGGGCGGGGGTGGGTTCTGGCCTGTCTGGTGTTTACAAAGCTGGTGAGGTGACCTGCTTGGCAGTGGGGGCGGGCAGCCACAGTCTCTAAGGAACAGAGTTACACTCAGTGATCACGTGCTAAGCCCTATAGAAGAGCCCAAAAGGCAGTCTTTACCCTTTTACAGCAGTGCTTCTCCAGATACTTAGCCATGCCTGGAGGTATTTTTGGCTGTCATACCCGGGAGAAGGGCTTCTACTGGCACCTAGTGGGTGGATACCAGAGATTCTGCTGAACATCCTAGAATGCAAAACTCAGCCCTCACAATGAAGAATTAACTGGCCTCAAATGTCAATCGTGCCCAGTTGAGGAACCTGCTGGCACTGTCCAACAGAACTTTCTGTTGTGACGGAAACATTCTCCAGCCTCTCTGTCCAATAATGAGACCCACCACAGACATGTGGCTACACAGCACTTGTGTAGCCAATACAATTGCAGAATTGAATTTTTACTTATTTTAATTACTTTAAATGTCAATAGCCACTTGTGCCTGGAGGCTTCCATACTGGACAGCATAACCCTGGACCTTGTAATGGTCAACAATTCTAGGAACGCTCCGTACTCTAAAATTGTTTACTTTGCACATGCCTTATTATTATAGACAATCCAAGAATGGCTCTGGGGACATGTGTGTGACCTGCTTCTCACAGAGTTCCCGACTCATAAAGAGTTCAACTGCTACATCCACCCAGCAAGCCTGGAGGTGGGCGTGAGCCCAGGCCACGGCCCCCCCGCTCTGCAAAATTCCCTTTCCCAGTCACATGCACCACACTAGAAGCTTGTCGCTACCTGAGTGCATTTCCTCTCACCCCCTCACCTTGATGGTTTCTAGCTCCAAGCGAAGGCGGTTGTTTTCTGACAGGAGGTCCCTGTTCCTGGTTTCAATTTGTTGCAGCTGTGTCTCCAACTCAGCCTCATATTCTCGGCTCCCCTCCTGGAACTCTCGGAGCTCTTCTTGTGTATTCTCTGCCCTACAGCAGAATTCGCAGATGTCAAATAAGAATATACTGAGCACTTACATGATGCTAAGTCTTACGCATGGATCAGTGCTTTATTTAACTACCTTTTAAGGCAGAAACTATGATCATCCTCATGTCACAAATGAAAAGATGAGGTTTAGACGAGATGAGTGACTTGTGTCAAAGTCACACAGGAAGTCAGAAACAGAGCTTGGACCTGAACCCAGGAATGCCCGGAGCCAGAGACATTTCTTAATCAATTCACTCTTCATTCATTCATTCATTCATTCAACATATATTTTTGAGCCCAACATGTAGTAATATACTTTGGATTATGTATCCTCTTCACATTTATTTATTATAAGTAGAAGTTGGATTATTTATAATATAAATGTCACTTATCACACCACTAAAATGTATCCATAAAGAAGATCATGCCTATAATGATGCCTATAGAATATAATGCCTATCAAACAAAATATACAACTTTAACATGGACAATGAAGATACCAAATCTGTTAAAGATTTTGCTTACCTTGCTTTAGTCATCCATTCAAATGGAGACTGCAGCCAAGAAACTGATAAGGCTGAGACTCAAAAGCATTAGGAAAGGCCATCAAGAGCAAAGACGTATCATTAGATACTAAGGCTAAGATCATCCACACCTTTGTATTCCCAATTATTGATACTATGAACAGATGTGGAAGTTAGACAGTGAAGGAGGTCGATCGTAAAACAATTGGTTCATGTAAAATGTGGTGCTGGAGGAGAGCTACACAGATACTCCGGACCACCAGAAAGACTATCAAGTGGCTCCTAGAGCAGATTACAACCTGAAATTGCTCTGGAGGCAAAAACGACAAAACCGAAGCTACTTCAGACACATCACAAGAAACAGGATTCTTTAGAAAAGACAGTAGCCCTGGGAAAAATAGAAGGCAGCAGGGGAAGAGGAAGGCCAAACATGAGATGGACTGACTCTACAAAAGCAGCCATAGGCTTGAATCTACAGGAGCTGAGTAGGTTTGCTGAGGACAGGATACTGTGAACATCACTCACTCAGAGTTGCCAGGACTTGGAACCAACTCAGTGACACATTAAGATGCACACAAAGACATGGATGGAACTGGAAAGCATTATGCTGAGTGAAATAGGCCAGGTGCTGAAAGACAAATACCATATGATCTCACCTTTAACAGGAAGCTAAACCAAAAAACAAAGACACTGAAATAGAGAACAAGGGGATAGTGACCAGAGGGGAGAAGGAAGGGAAGTTAAGGGGAAAAAGGGGGAGGGATTTGGAGGAACAAATAGGAAGGACACAGGGACGAGAACTAAGGGGGGGTGGAAATGGGAGGGAGGTGGGGAGCAAGGGGCGGGGGAGGCTGGGATGGGAAAAATTGACAAAAAACTGTACTTGAAAAATAACTAAATAAAATTTAAAAAAAAAGAAAAAAAAGATATTGTTCAAAAAACAAAAAGAAAAAAAAAAAAAGATGCACACAAAGTGTCCCTACCCCATCCCAAATACCCAGTTCTAGCTTCTCAATCCTTAAAACGCAAGGGACACTTTTTTTTTTTAACACCAGCCTGAGTTTAACCTTAAGTCAAACTAAGAACAAAGATATTTGATGAACTGGAATAAGACTCCACAAAGAGATTATGAGTCCATGAGAAATAAAAGAAACAGGACTGAACACATACACACACAATTCCCAGATATGGGCACTGAAACACTGGTTTCAGATTTTACAATCTGCAACAACCCACTTTGCTGGGCACAGGGAGTTCTTTCCTCACACATAAAGCACTGACCAAATATGGCATCCCAGAACTGATAAAACCCTGCCAGAAAATAAGATGGGAAGTAGTAGTTTGCTTAGGAACACAGGCTTTGGAGTTCAAATTCTAGCTCTGCAACTTACTGGCTGTGTGACCTGGCAAGTTTCTGTTTCCTCATTTGTAAAATGTGTTGATAATGGTGGTTTCATAGGGCAGTTCTGACATTTAACTGAGATAATATACGCAAAGCCTTCACAGTGCTTGTCACATAATATTCCCCACCCCACCCTACAAAATGACTGCTGCTATCATCATGGGAAGAAAAGGCGGGTGAACTTTGGTGAACTGACCTTTGCTTGTAGGTCATTGCCAGATCTTTCCAATAGTTAGCATCTTCTTCCTCAGAGCTGAAAGTCTTCCCAGAGTCCTCCATCATGAAAATGGGAGAAGAGGTCACTCTTTTTGTGGCATAGTGTCTAGGAAAGAAAGTTCTAAAATTATTATTCTGGTTAAATACTGAACATTATTGGAGGGAAAAAATCCGGAACTTTACATTGGATTAAATAATGAAACAATGCCAAAACACTAAAACAACCAAGGCAAAATATAGCCCACCTGCATGTTTCATTCCATGGAGAGATAAAACTGTCAGGAAATGCTGACTCACCACATTGGGAAGAAGGGAAATAAGGAAAAGATGGAGGTGAGGACATCTTCTGGGGTTCTAGCTTGGGCAACAGGATGCCAACACTGTCCCCGTCACCAGAAATGCAGACATGCAGAACATCAGAAGGAAAGTCTTCAGGGCAAGGGGATAATGACCCAAGTCTGGGACATTATTAGTCTGACATGCTCGTGACACATCTAGATGCGACACTGAATATGAAACTCGGGTAAAGTCTGGGCTAACAATACGAATTTAAGAGTCATCAGTTTGTAGCTGGTGCTTCCCTTTCTCTTGCGACAGAACCACCGGAGGACCTAAGGAGGACTATTTATGGAACTCTGAGGAATGCCAGTATTTGAAAGGGGGGCAAGGGAAGAAGTGGTAATCAGAGGAGAGAGGAGAAACAGAGAAATAAGAATCAGTAAGAGTCAGCTGTCCCGGAGTAGATGGTTTCAAGGGGGAAAGGGGAACATTCCACAGTATCCGCGAAACAGAGAAGGTGGTAAGATAAGGCTTGGAAAATATCTACCAGACTTGGCAAAATGTTGGTCACTGGTAATGTGAGCAAGAATAGTTTCAACACAGTGGAGGAGGGAGGAGGAATAAACTGGGTAGAGGAGCATGTAGGAGGTGAGGAAGAGAAAGTCCACAGGATTTTGGAGAACTGGGTATAAGAAAGGGAGACAAATTTGACAGTAGGTAGAAGAGAGTAGAAGATAGGGCCTTGGCTTTGAGACATCCAGAGCAGAGGTTAGGAAACATGTCCCATTCTATACTACATATTCTATAAACAATCATCAGTTTATAGACTCCACGCTCATAGAGCCTCTGGATGTAACAGCTTATTTTCTGAATTTATTTAAGGCTCTGAGCCTGTTGAAGGTCATCGGGAATCCAAACTAGATGCCTCCAAGGTTCCTTCCTTCCTTCCTTCCTTCCTTCCTTCCTTCCTTCCTCCCTCCCTCCCTCCCTTCCTTCCTTCCTTCCTTCCTTCCTTCCTTCCTTCCAGGGACCTTACAGTCTGCAGTATGCGTCCTTGGGAACAAAAGAATGAACACATCCCTCACTTTGCAAGTCATAACCGACAAGCTGTATTTTGGGCTCAATCTTTTTAAAACCATTCGGTTAAATATGTTAGTGATGGCACGGACAAAATCACCAACTTCTGGATCCCAGGCAGAAGTTGAGTAATACCTATACTCAAGCACAGCACTTATTGCTAACTCTGCATTTGCTACTACCCATATGTGCAACTTCTTTCTCTCCTAATTTCTCCCCCTTTCCTAATTTGGAGAAAGTATGCCCTGGGCCCTCCTAACTTCCCCCTTCTGGAGAACAGTTTCTGTGAAAACTTGATCTAAGCAGAGAAGCCAAATGGTATAGAAAGCTGTCAATTATTAATTTTTTTCCAGGTCAGAATTCCTTCTTCCATCTTTCTGTAATAGCACCCCAATATTCCTTTGGGGGAACTAACCCTACACTCACCCCAGGAGGTTCAGAGGAAACTGACATCCCCTTTTGTATCTGGGAGAAGGCACAGGACTACTCATACCTCCAGAATCAGTAACCGGCTGGGGGGGTGGGGGTGGGGCAACCAATGCTGAGCCAACAACAGGGATCAGCCTCATGCAAACTGAACAAATTATTGGCTCAGGTGTGGACTTAACTCAAGCTGAGTCAACAATAAGTGGGCCTAACTCAAGCCAAGCCAGTAAGTGTCCAGAACCAGACCTTTTGCAGAGCTATCAGGAAACAAACTCTTTAGAAGTGTTAACTAACCTTACTGTAATAATCATTTTGTGATATACATTGATACATACATACAATCATCATGTGGTACACCTTAAACTTACACAATGTCATGTGTCAGTTATATCCACAAAGCTAGGGGAAAAAGAAAAACATGAACTCCCTTTTTCCGCTAGGATTTGTTAGAGAGCAGGAGGTAAGCCCAGAGTGCCAATCCTCATTCTATCATGAGAGAAGACAGCCTGAGAAAGAGGTCAAAACATTGGAAAGCAGGACCAAGAGGTGGAGAGACGGGGTCCTGATAATACTGTTTGAGCACCGGGATCCAGCTGTCCCTAATTTATGATTATGAGAGATAATTTACTCCCGTTCTTGACTGTACCAGTTAGAGTTGGATTTCTGTCACAAGAGAGTTCTAATTAATATATGGAGTGACAGATCTTGTCTGCTGAAAAGAAATAGAATGGAGTACCTACAGTAAATAACAGTAATTAAGATGGTGGCGGTAAGAATAAATTTCGGTGTGGTGCTCCCTGCTCAGACCATAAGCTCGAGTGAGTCCAGATCGCAGCTAATATGCAATCACCAAACCAATGTCTATAGTGTCCAGAGCACAGAGCCCATGCAACTCTATGTAAATGAGCACCGTGTGGCCACTAATGGTCCTATTAAGGACAAATGCATGGCACGAGGGGAAATCTGGGGACAGTAGGGTGAGAAAGTGAGGAACTAGGAACAATGAATGTACACTGACTCCTGCTGTTTGGAAAAAGATCATGTCCAAGGTTCAACATAATTAGTCCCTGTCACTTCTTTTAAACATTTCCCACCCTCCTACCCCTCCACTTCCTTAGGTTCCAGCTACACCACCTTCTTTCTGTTCCTTGAACACACTAAGCTCACCCTACCTCAGGACCTTTGCACTTGCTATTCTCGCTGCCTGGAATGTTTTTCCTTCAAATCTCTTCTCGGCAGGTTTCCATCTTGCCCCTCAGATCTCAGCTAAAATGTCTTCCCCAGAGAGACCTTATTTGAATACCAGCAAATACCCACTTCAGCCCTTCACTATGATATTAACCACCCCCCCATTTATGACTTTATATGTCTTGTTTTCACTTATCTTCCCTCACTGGAATGTCAGTTGTTGAACACAGGGACCTTCTCTGTCTTTTATATCCTCCATACCTAGAATAACGCCTGGCATCTAACAGGCGTTTACTAAATGCTGTGGAAGGAATGCACATAGGAGAAGACAGAGACTGGCCACTAGCGAGAAGGGAATACGACGTTAAGGAAGGCACGAAGCCAGAGGCCCTCTGAAGGTTAGCTTATAATTTACATCTGTAAATCCTACGATGCTTATCAGGATGGGGAAAACCTCTCCCTCGGCACCTGAGCGCCATCTGCTTAATGGGAAGGAACTGGAGAAGATACCATGTTTGAAACCACCCCTTCTCCCCATTTTTACATGATAAACAGTATCTGATGTAGTTCCTGGAGTTTAATAACCCTGCTCCTGCACTCTTATGACAGATGAGTTTTTTAAAAGGGCTTCTTAAAACAGTTACCATGGCCAGTGAGCCTTAAAACTGAACCCTCAGGAAAGAAATGAATTTGTGGTGTTCCAGGAGGTCCTTCCATTGGGAGAAGGGCTCTAATTATAACCATGCTGATAGGAAGGATCTGGTTTTTGGACCTCAGGTTCTGGGGAGAAACTACACAGAAACCTGAGCTTATGTCACAGCTTGTACAATCTCTAACTCCTTCAACTAAAGGGCAAAACCCGCAGGCCTGGCATTTCAACCAAATTCCCTGCATTTTAAAAACAATCTTTAGGGAAGAAAAAAAATATACTACAGGCCAAGAGAGAAGAAGTAATGGCTGAACTTCACTATGTTTTAAAAAGGAAGTCTTAAATATATAAGTTTTCTTTGCCATAAGAAAATGTCTCAGAGAGTTCCAACGTGAATTATTCTTCACAGAAAGCAGGTAAGATGACTTGCAGAGTTTCCCCTCTTCCAGCATTATCTATCGAATTTTATCATCCCCTTCTATTTGCTGTGTGCTGGGCATTTAACAAGTCAGCTTCAAACAACTTTACTCCTTTTAAGCCATTCAACTGTAAGAGTAAGCAAGACAATCACCTGGATTCTTAGAAGAAGCTGGAGCAGAAACGCTGTATCTCCGGCATCTCCTTTGGTGCAAGTGAACAGCAGAGGCAAACTAGACCCAGTGCAAGGGCAGGGGTGCAGGGGATTGTCTTTAAATTCAAGTTCGAGGTCTCCCCGGGTTTGTAAATGGACTGATTAGAAGTCAAATTCACCCACAGTCTTTTAAAAGGCACTGTGACAGGCAGATGTTAACTGTTGTTAACAGTGTATACAACGTTGTACCCACTATCTTAAAAACTGACACTGCATGCATTTATTTCATCTGTGCTACAGGCATTCAACCTTTTAACTTGTGTGCTCAATACACCATTACATCATCGTGCCCTAGCTTCATGGACAAATCCAATGGGTACCTCAACTGTATGTGATACAACATGCAAGAAAGAACAAACTAGGACAAGTGGTTTGAAAAATATCTATTTTCTGTAACTTAGATCTACTATTCCTACAAAAATGTATTTTGCTATATGTTTTTAGCACATTTTCCATGATTAAGCTTAATAGAAAAGTCTGAAAACACACCTGAAACAAATACTTTTGATTTCAAAACTAGAAAAAACAAAGCAATCTCTCTTGGCTCCCCTGTGAGTGAAGAAAGCTGGGGCATGCTGGTCAGGATGCAATACACACCGATAAACCATCAGGAATTAACTCACCATCCTCTCCACCCCGACCTTGGGCCAACTCCTTCCCAATCAAAACAAATGGAAGAGCTGAAGAGAAAGGAAGGGAGAAAAAGGTGCCAAATGCCAGTGGCACGTGCTTCAACAGCTTTTATGTTATGAAGCAGGCTTTGCGCTTTGCAGAAGTGACATCACTGGGGCAAGATCTGTCAGGAATCAGCAAGTCTAGCTTCTGTCTTTGTACTTTCAAAGCCTATAATGATCAGTTTTAAAAACAGGCATGCAAGGACAAACACACAAGGCTGTACACATCATTCACGGATGTGGAAATGGGAGAAACTGTCAACAGAGGACTGATTGGAAAACTATGCAGTTGTTAAAAAGAATACTGTGTACTAAAACGGAAGAAAGTTTATGTTAAGAAGGGCACTATTTTTACTTACAAATCTATCTCCCTTTTTGCATACAAAGGGTCTGGGAACATGTACCAGAATGCGGGTAAAGCCGGCCCTAAGATGAGAACTTGCACCTGACACATTACTATATACGTTGATTTTTACAGTAAGTATATATTGCTTTTGACATTTTAACCCAAACAAAAATACAGAATAGCTATTGTTCCGGGATAACTTTATTCTACAGAACCAAAATGCCAGGGAAAGTTTCCGCCTTCTCCATCCCTTTTCCAACACATCTGAACACCTGTTAAATGCCAGGCACAGGTAGGAGAGGCAGATACAAAGCACCTAACATCAGCACTGAGTGCAAATACAGCACTGGTGGCTGACACCAACTTTCCATACACCAGTGTGTTCATGTTAGGAAATTATCTTGTGAGGAAAGGGAGTGTAAATTCCCTGGCTCACATGTTCTAAGGCAAAAGAACACACTTACCCAAAATGGTATAAAATATACCAACCAGAGGCCCCTGAGACACTAAGGGTAGAGAATCAGATCATCTGGATCTAAGCGTACACAAAAGACACACTTAGAGGAAAGATTTAAGTTTCAAAACTGATTATCAGTGTGTGTGTGTACTTGGGTGATATCAGGTAACAAGTGTCTCTGGGAGTCATTGGGATTCAATCCCTCTTCAAAGCATCCTTCCTACCCATGTCCTAAAATGCCATCATATCCTAGAATACACAAAGAAAAATAGCACAGAAAACACAAATATCTGCCCGGCGCATGCTACAAAGGCCACTTCTTGTTAAAAGGGTCCTGGGGCTACAAGTACAATAGAAAAAGGCACAAGCCGGTACAAACCCTTGGACAAAGAAGTGAGGGAAGTTCAAACCCCCAAGAGGCAGAGAACCTGACATGACTGAAGAAGATAATGCAGCTTCCCCAAAAGCGGTGTCAAGGGGCTGATGGAGTTTCCCAGGACCTCAGAGAGACACGTAAGCCCACTCACTGTATTCAAGCTGTAGAATAAGCGTTTTCATCCTGTATCCAATCTGTCCCCAAAGTGCTGTCAGGGGAAATCTGAACCGCCCTGCAGCAGAGACCTGAGAAACACAGGGGGAAGGAGGCGGTTCCAAACAAGTTCCCAAATGGAGGGAGGTGGAGGAAGAAGGAACGAGGTTTTTGGAAGGAGGCCTGCAATGAGGGTGAAAGCAGGGTGGGGAAGTGGGCAAGGAGGAGTGCTAAGAGGTACGACGGGAAGATTGGGGCAGCAGAAGGAAAGGGGTGGCGGGGTTTGAAAAAACGGCGTGGGAAAAGAGACTGGGGGGTCACGGAAGGGAGTTTCGGGTAGGAGGGAACAGTAGAGCAGAGTATCAGGGCTGCGAGGACTGGAGACAAGGGGGGCAGGAGGACCAAGGAAGTCAAGGAGGGAGAGGAGGGCAGCAAGAAAATGAAAGTTGGCAAAGACAAGAAACCGGGCGCGAGGACACAAGTGTGGCAAGGCACGAAGTGAGGATGGGAGGCTCCAGAAAAGCGTCCCGAAGTCCCTTTCGAGCCCAGCGCCCGAGACCGTCGGAGTTCAGGCAGCCGGGAAGCGACGCGCAAGCTAGGGGAGTCGCAGGGTCTCTGCAAGGCGGCTGCCGGAGGTCCCCAGAGTGCATCTGGCGACAGGACAGGACAGAACAGTTTCCTACCGGCGGCGACGGTTCCCCAGCGGCTCTCACCCTCGGCAGCTGCAGTTCCGTACTTACCCGGGCTCGGACGACGTAAACCAGCGGCTACCGAAACAGCGGCGGCGGCTGAGGGCGGTGCGGCCCGGACCACTGGCCCTCGCCCCCGCCCTTGCGCTCGCAGCCTGCGTTGCTCACTGGCTGCTGCGCTACGGGACCGCGTCAGCCTAGACCAATCAGAGCCAAGCAGCGCGATTTGGAAACTTTTTTTGCCAGGGCCCGGGCGCGGCTTGGCCACGCGGCATCCCTGAGAACAGAGAGGGCTTGGACGACTCTGACTGCGGGCGGGGACCTGCCTTGCCTTTGAGGATGCCAGTTGCCCCCCGGAAACCCGCAGAATGGGCTTGGACTTGCGGGGCCAATGCACTTAAAGAAAATACTACTCCCTCCCCTTGATAGTGATTGCATTTTCTCGTTCTTGCTTTTTGCCCAAATCAGAAAAAAGGACAAAGATTCAGGTCCGCTTTGGCTAAGCAATGGCCCATGTTCTTCCCACTCCTTTACACCCTAAATAAGATTTTCAACATTACTACCTTCTTCGAAGGTAGCAAAATTTAGTGTGTAAGACTTTGGTTTCAAGTCTATCTTTGAATCCTAACTCTGCTCCTTACTAGCTGCATGATCTTGGGCAAGGTACTTTATGTGACTTAGTTTCCTTATCTATAAAATCGGGTTCCTGGTAGGGGTTCTAAAATAGTCTAACACATAAAGTATAATCTATGTATTTGTTAAGTGAGCATGATTTTTTAATTGGTTATGTGTGTTATATACAATGCTGACTTCTTGACTGGGATTTTCTCATTTAACTCTCACAGTAATCCTAATTGTTCACCAACAATTATTTATTGAGGATTCACACTTAAAGCACAGTAAATGTCAGCCAAGATGCCCATCGTCAAAAAATTTACAGTATCAGAAAAGAAACACACTAAACCAACTAACAGGAAAAGTAAGATAATTTCAGACTTTAATAAGTGCTATGAATAATGCAATGTCATACGATAGAAAAGGACCAGGAAGGAGTTATTTCAGATAAAATGGTCAGGGAAGGCCACCCCAAGAGATGACAATGGAGCTAACTAAGACCAGGATAATGAGAACCATAGAAAACACTTTTGTTGTCCTCATTTCAAAAATGAGAAATAAAGCAGTATGAAGTTAATGTGTTGCCCAAGGTCTCACAATTAATAAGTAAGAAATCAGACTAAAGCTGGGTCTATTTGATGCCCACACTTGTGTTTTTCAGCACTACACTAGAGGCAAAAAGATGTTAGGTATTTTGAAGATTCCAACCACATTCATAAAATCCCCCCTGTCTCCCTCCAACAGTTAAGAATGACCTCTCTCTAATTCTCTCTTGTTTTGACTCCTCCCTAGTTCCTGGAGAAGCTCAGAGACACAAAAGGGAACCACCACCTACATTAATAGGGTTAAGGAAAGTACCAAAATGTCTGTTGGGAAAACTTCCATGCTGGTCACAAATGCTAATAAATCATTGCTTTCTCTTGACACATTTGCTATTAGGCTTTCCTTCATTGCAGAATTTTATTGATGCTCACCATTGTGTGCTGTTTCTGGACAGGGAACAATCACCCCAGTTTACAGATAAACTGAAGCACTAATTGATTTGATATCAATCTGAAATGGCCCTGATCAACTCATGTCAACTAGTTGGCTTTCTTCCATTTTTTTAAGAATTTATTTATTTATTTGAGGGGAAGATAGGGAGAAAGAAAGGGAAAGAAACACTGCTGCTAGAGAGAAACATCAGTCAGTTGTACCTGGCCCAGGCCCCAACTAGGGTCCCAGCCTATGACCCAGGCATGTGCCTGACCAGGAATTTAACCGCTGACCTTTTGCTTTGCAGGACGACGCCTGACCAACTGAGCCACACCAGCTAGGGCAACTAGTTGGCTTTCAATTTCATTCATTTTCCATTTAAAGAAAGGGAGAGGACATTGAAATGATTGTCATTATTAAACTTGTCTTTAGGAACTGGAGTTTAGGTAAATGTCATTAGATAAAACCTTGAAAATGAAAGGGAATTTTTGGTGTACTTTAAAACTTTATACTCTCTTGACTCATTTTTTCCCTCTCTGGTGTTCAGATATGAATGAGCAGAGAACTCAGTTTCTCTTACACCCTTCCATCATACTTTATCATTTCAAAACTCTACACTTAGCCTAACACAGAAGAGAAGTTGCTGCAGGAGAAACTCCTTTAGTAGCAGCCAGATTACTCTAAGAGCTGAATTGAATGTAAAGCATTGTACTGCTTAAACAGCACAAAAAACAGCCTTTATCCTTGTTTCATAAACATGAAGATTATAATTTAGACAAGGAAAAAACTGAAAGTTAATCTTACTCTCCGATAAAAGAGTTTGCCTAGCAAAGAAATAGATTAACAGAGGCTATATTTAAGAAAATATATCTATCTTAAGGAAAATGGTAAAGCACTCTTTCACAAATAACAGATTGTTTTTAGGTTCATAATTATCTGCTTCCAATAGCTGGTTCTACATAGGCTAGTGTTCTACGGAAAACAGTAAAATTGCATTTCTTTAAAAATTATTTGTAATTCAGACTTTTCATTAGTATTATATTTCATGTGATATATTCATTTTTATTTACTGCATTTAACCTGTTGAGACCAGGCACAACTGGAGTTTTGAAAGAATGCCAAACAAAGTCAAACAAAATGTGTCTGCTCTTCTGTGGCTAACAATTTTTTTAAGAATTTTTAAAAATCCAATTAGTTTCCTTTTTTATACTTTCGATTAATATGGTCTGTGTTCAGAGATACTCAACTAGAATAAGGAAAAAGAAAAACACCCCTAAAGAGAAGCATATTTGGTACTTAAAAAAATAAACAAGCTAGAAACAGAGTTGCTTCACTACCTGTTCTAATTCCCACTTGGAAAATACCACACAGACACAATGAAGATTTACTCAGCAGTAATAAATACCTAAGTGGGCAGATGATGTGTGTTTACTTGTCATCTCCCTACTGGAAAATGAAATTCAAGCACAAAGGATTCTTCAGCTATGTGTTTGGTCTTGTCCTCCGTCATACATGTCTACCAGGATGTATTAGCTTCCCCTGAAATTCACCCCATCGACTGGGAATTGCCTAATGAAATTGCCTCACTCTGAAGACTCATGGGGTGTGGGCGCCTAAACGCCTCTTTTTGACAATTTCTAGTTATTGATTCTTCTGCAAAGCGAATCTGTCTCTCGGCAATAAACTTTTCCGGAGTATGCAGCTAGCACATCCTAAACTGAAAATCCTCGTATTTATATATACGTTTAAATACGAGATACGTGCTTTGTTTTTCTAATTTGCAACAGGAACTACCACTGGCAGGTTTGCAAATGACCATTGGCTTACTGAGTTCAAAAAAAATTTTTTTAAAATCTCAGGTAAAAGTAGATTTTGAAGTGAAGGGGAGGCGGGGGAACCAAATAGGAGGTACCTATCCGCTAAAATACATGCTGTTATTTGCTCCACAAGGCTTTTTCAAGTACAAGATCTACTTTTTGCTCGCCCAGCCTGTCACTGGAAAAGTTGTGTTGACTTAACAGCAAGCTCCGGCCCGCGGCTTTTAAATATCACGTTTTCTCACTTAAGTCACGAGGCCCTCCTAATTGTTGGTGACAACATCCAGGCTAGCCCCAGAGCACTTTACTTTTGCCAGCTTGGGCATAAGCCTGCGAGAAACCCTGCCGGCCGGAAGGACTTGGAGGTTAGCTCGGTTGGCACTCTTTTCCCCAATCGCCACTAGGCTGCACTAATTAAGTATGCTGTGAAAAATATGCGTCATTTAAAAATTTTTTTAAGTAGAATCATCACGTGACAAGACGAGAGCGAGAGAGGATGGAGAGACAGAGAGGAATGAGAGAGAAAACCACAACATTCGAGTTTCTCATTGAAATCCGTTGTAATCGCCTTTCCTCAAAAGACCGAAAGAACTGCATTGTATTAAATCCTAGTTGGCAGGTTTTTTTCCCTCGGTTCCACTTCAAAACTCCCTAATTCTCTGCTCTTAGATTCCTTCCACTCCACAACGATAAGCCAAAGTAAAGGCCTCCTTAAATCGGGGGTTTTCGCCAAAAAAGCCGGGGCCGCCCCCAGGGAAGGTCTCTATTTAAAGGTTTATCGGGAGGGGACTGAGCCTGACGAGGCTGCAGGGCCGCGAGGCCCCGCCCCCCCCGGATTCCCAGCACTCCCCGCGCGGAGAGGGCAGGGCGGCGGGGGAGGGGTGAAAGTAGGGGCGGAGCGAGGGAAGAGAAAAGAGCGTCGGTTTTACGACTGGGGCGGTGCGGTACGGAAGCGGAAGTGGAGGGTGCGCTTGGCGGCGGCGGCGGGGGCTGCGGAGTCGGGAATCAAAACAAAGGGCCTGGAGGGGCGGGGGGAAGGCGGCGGGGTCGGAATGTGAGCGAAGGTGGAGCTGGCCGCTGAGGTGAGTGTGCTGGCACCGCTGGGAACTAGTTTGGGATGGGCCCATTGCTCTGGGGCCACCAGGCTTGAGGAAAGACAGTGTCTCCGCCCTCCCCCTGCCTTTTGCTAGCCGGGATGCACAAGGTTGGCTAGTCTGCGGGGAAGGGCTGATACCCACCAGTCATGCCCCTACGAAAAGTTCGGGTTGTCTCCCTTTCGTGTCCGTTCACAACTGTCACTGCTGCGCCGCTGCTGTACTTTGGGGTTGTTTGGCTCCTCGCCCGCACCTTTCTCCTTGCCCCCGATGGGGCCCTCCAGGTATGGAGAGCAACCTTTCCAGAGGGGTTTGCACAGTTGGAAGGTTAAGAAAGGAAGGCGAGGCGGGTGTACTTGCAAACCTTCCCCCCGCCCCCGGCCGAGCACTATGCATGCTCCTCAGTTTTTCAACACTGGGGTGTGCAGCCTCTAGTTTTAAGGATAGTGTTGAGTTTTCTTAGGGCTTGAGCCACTCCCACTATTAATTGTAACGCCACACCTTGATACACCTTTCAGAGTTTCCCAAGCACCTTTCCG